CATCTGGGAAACAACCATCCGGAAATCCACCGACTGAACGAGAGAAAAGAATATTGAGTTTCATTTAACAGCTTTTTACAATTGCTAAGAAACAGTTTCTGAAGTCAGCGCTCTCTTTGTTGAAACTCTACACACAAAAAGCAAAAACATGATCACAAATTAAAAAGTATCTTATCAGCACACACGTCAAAACTATTTAAACTCCTCTAAAATTGTATTTTTGTCAAAACACCAATAAATAGCTCTTTCCACAAGCCAACTGTACACTGATACTGTGCTAAGTATAAAACACTATTATCTGATCTTTGGCATTTTCATTTGTAGCAGACTGTGAATACAAATACAATGTGTTTATTCTCAATACTCGTATACTCACAACAGTATCGCACACAGTTACTTTAACTGAAGATGACATGAACATAGTCACTGCATTGTACTGTAAACAATAATGTAATTACAGTCCTCCAACTCTCCATTGCTGTGCACACCAAAAAGCAAACCTGAATTATGTGTGTGTTTTAAAATGTCTTGTAAAGTGTAAAGCATACAAAGTGCTTAAAGTTTAGCATCACTGGTCAATAGACAGATAGATAGCTACATGAGATAGTGGTTTCAACAGTTTTTGTGTCCTTTCAATCACAAAACAAAAACTATAAAGGCATAAGAAGTATTCCAACTGTAAATATCACCACACTATTTGAAACTCTTTGTTCAGATGTTGCATCGTTCCCTCACCTCTCTCTCGCTGTCGGACAGCTGAGTCAGGCTCTGTCTGAGCGAGGTGAGTTGTTGCTGGTCCTCTCTGCTCTGCAGGTCTGAGCTCACTGTGTTCAGCTTCTTCTCCACCTTGGCCTTCCCGTCCGCCAGCTGATCCAGCCTCTTGTTCTGCTCCTGCATGGCCCGACTCTGTTCCACGGCTTTCAACTTGGCACGTCGGACAGAGGTGTTCAGTGCAGCAACTGTTATTCATTGGCTTTATTGCTCTGTAATACTCTGATACTTAAAAAATATATACATGGTAGTTCTCAGAACCAACCTGCAGTATAACCCGCTCCTTTCACCCACACATACACAGACATAAACACAAATAAATTATGAGGTGAAAATGCCTCTGTATTTATTGTAAGGGGCCTGAACCCCTCTCCCCTCTACCTTGAGCTGACTGGTGTGGGACAGCTGGGCCTCGAGCTCAGTGTTGGACAGCTTGGTAGCCTTCAGCTCGCCTTGGAGACGCTCCAGTTTTTTCTGCAGCCTCCTGGCCTCCAGATGAGCATCACCTCGTTCCACAGCCAACGCTGAACGGCTCCTCTTCTCCTCCTCCAGCTCTGACACCTTCTTCCTCAGGAGCTGGATGTGGAGTCCTTTGCTCTCTAGTTGGTCTTTCTGCAACTTCAACTATTGGGAAAAGGAACATTTTGACTACAGGCGCATTGCTGGTCGTGCCGACACAACGACTGTTTTGCATTTGTGCGTTTAGAGAGGAAGTTTTCATCACAACCTAAATAAAAGATGTGATCTTCAAACACCATTCAGCACATTTGTATGAGCTTCTGATTGGTTGTTTGAAACCGTGACAATGAGAGTAATTACACTCCAAGTTCCAAGCCCACCTTTCGCTGCAGACTGTAGGTCAGACTTTTGCTCTCCACCAAAGCAGTTGCCTCTTGTTTGACAAGCTGCTCTGCCCGTGACAGGATGAGTTGTAGGCTCATGTCGAAGCCTAGATCCACAGCAATACTGTCGACCTTCATTGTCTCTGACAGCTGTTCCAGGAACTCTTCATACTGTTAAAAAGAAACACTAAGTAATAATGGATGGAAGACTACTGGATACTTCTGTCATCTCAATACTTTTTCTTACGTATTTACCAGTAGCTGTAAATTCTTTTCTCCTGATTTTACTCACATGCTGTTTGCTGTGTCTCAGCCCGTCACGCTGCATGTCTGCTGCCAACAGCTCAGTCTCCAGACCTTGCAGTCGTTCCCTCAGGTCCTGGACTCGCTGCTCTGCAAGCTGAGCCCTCTGCAGTGCACCGTGCTGGAGCTCCGTCCGCTCGCTCAGCTCCTGAGAGATGTGACACAGCCTGGCTTCTATCTCTGAAAAAGACTGCCTCCAAAAAATGTAGTAAGGATGCTATTTATCTTGGAGGAGGAGTGCCTTTTTGAGACATGGAAACCCAAGATTTAATGTAATGGGAAATGTGTTGGAAAGTAACTAAATACATTTTCTCAAGTGCTGTATTTAAGTACAATTACACTTTTTACCCCACTGCATTTATCTGAAAGAGGTACTACTTACTTTGTTAATCAATATTTAAACTTATTATAAACACTTAAATTGCATCTTATAGAGTAAATTAAACCGCCCAACAAAATGAACAAAATTAGCTCTACCACAAATATATTAAAAGGCTTCTTACACTGTAGTGAAATATCAGAAATAACAATAATATTCAATGAAAAATATATTTTAAAGAAGTGAGTGTATGTTCAAAAAGCCATAGGCTCTAACATGTTTCAGTTCGTTTCAGTAGGGCAATACTTGTAATATAAAGAAGAACTTTATTGTGAAAACAACTTGTTTCGACTTGGGCTCTCTCAATAAAGTTGTTCATATTTGAATTTCTGGAAGTTTGACCTTTTAAGACTTCTTTCCTTTCAGCTTGTGCCAGAAATCCCTGCTCTGGTTCCTCACCTTATTGCAGACATGATCCAGGTTGTGTAAAACGTCTTTCTCTGTGTGCAGGATGACGTTCTCAGACTTCCCCTGCAGCAGGCCTGCCACTTTTTTCAGGAACATCTGTAGCTTCTCCTCAGCTGCCTGGCTCTCTCCTTGGCTCGACTGTAGCTTTCTTTCAAGCTCCTCCACCTGTTTCTCCAAACAGCGGGACTCTCTCCTCGCTGCTTCTATGACTCTCTTGCTGGCGTCAAGCCGCTCCATTAGGGTTCCCCTCTCCATCTCAACGCTCCTCCTGCCCACCACCAGGTCGTCTAACTCCTGAACACACAATGTTGTCAGATGTTTAATATAAGACCATGTCCAGGAGAAACTTTGATATGGTTCTTAATGGTTCCAGTGCAGAACTGCGCACCAGGGCTGTAGCAAAGACACCAATGTATTCTTTGGGTGGGATTTTGTTTTTTATTAACCTGGGGGTAGTATTCATTAATTAACGCAATTAAAAACTTACACATGGAGGTTATTTTATAGGTTGATTCCAGTATTTATATACTCAATTTGACTACTGTTAAACCAACTAAATAAATCAATGACATTAATCACTATCTACCCACAAAAGGTTATTCCTTGATGTGTGGAGTAGGCAAAAACGTATACCTAAAAATCCCTGGAAACGTTTAATAAATAAAAAATCTAAAAAATCTAAATATTTTATAGACTTTTCTTTTGGTGTCTGGGCAGACTTTTTTGATGGGTGCACTGTACTATGTCGTTTTAGAATAAACTTGTGTATGGAGAGTTCAGGAGCTGTGTAAGTACCCCTTTTAGTGACCCGAGAGCTGCTGCACTGCTGGCAGCCTTCCTCCTCTCTCTGTCCAGTTCTGCCACCAGCCTCAGCACCGTCTCTCTGCTGGCTCTACACTCCACCTCACAGGATCTCACACTCTCATCCAAAACAGCAATTCTCATCTTCAGCCTCTCCCTCTCGTGAGACTGGTCCACCTAATCATTTTTAAAAAGCATTCCAGAGATATAATTTATAATAACTTTATAATTGTATAATCTGTAGTAGGACATTTATCAATTATAAGCTTAAGAAGCTCAACATCAGGTGCAATTTAGTTCCTGCTCGATAACAAATATGTGTCATAAAGATAGTTATAATTCATTTATGTTCTGTTAGCATACCTCTTCAGAGGTTTCCATAACTTCCATGATTAGAAGTGTTGCAGGGGAAGTGAAAATATTAGAGAATTGTCTCTGTTTAAGAAGTCTCCTGGCAACAGCAAACACAAGCTATACCAGACTCCACCAGAGGGGGTGCTGTAGCAGTGACAACGTCTGACACTATACAGTAAATAACAGAAAATATATGTAATTGATAGCTTATAAAACAGTGAGAAAATGCATTAAATAACACTAAAAAATGATGCATGTGAAGGTTAACTCAGAGATATTCATTTTGAAGCCCTAAGTTAAGACTTTAAGGTAGCCTATTGTAGGGCACCAACTTGAGTCTTCTCAATTCACTATTCACAATACAGTAATTACATTTAGACTGTACGGTATGTTGCACAAGGCATGATGATTGTTGCCACTTGTTCAGTTCAGTCCTTGCAAGTATATCATTTATGATACATTCAGTTTCACTTGGGAATTTTGTCAAAATGACAAACATACTATAGTGAACTATAAACAGTTCCTGACCATTTAAAATGATGTAAGGTCTACATTTGACATCTTATCACATGTTATTATTGCTTTAGTGTGGACATGAGTGTGCTTATTCACTGCAAATATCCAGTATTCACAAGGAAATGCTAAAGACTTGAGAAAAGTCAGAAATTAAAAACAAATATATTGTGTAACATAAATGAAGGTGGTCCCAAACTGTAGGTTGGAAACCACTGGCCGGTGAATAGCTTTTAACTATGGTACATTTTGGGGGAACATTTACTGCATTTATCAGACAGCCAACAGTAAAGAGATGACAGGAGGTGAGAGGAGAGAGATGAGGAAGGACATGCAACAGACGTCCCCAGTCGGATGTAAACTGGATATGTTGTGTGGCTCATGGTTTAACCCCTGCAGTAGTTAATGATGCTTGACATAACTAATTTAACCGAAACTTAAATATGACAAATTGATTTTAACTGCATTTTTTTTAAAGTGTAATACTCTGTCAGTGGACCCAGAGGTCGTGACTTTCAGCCCTGGTGCTTGGCAGCAACGCATAACCTGCCAGTCAATAATCGGGGCCGACTACGGCCTGGGCAATACGTTGGGACGTCACCATAAACAGGAAATGAGCCGCAACAAAACTTTATTAGCAAACAGCAAACCCATGCAGCGAACACGCCTCCTGTGTCTGTCTCTGTCATGCCGCTGTACTCACAGTTACACATGAACAAAAACCGTTGTTTTCGGACGCGTTGAATCATTCGACTCCTGTTGAATCGCTTATTTTCTTCATTTACCGGTAAGCTAACCAACGGCTAACGGCTACATATCGGTTAGCCTTGACGTTACACACTGATCTGTGATTTGCTAGCACGTCCACCACCTCCTCTGTTGGCTTGTAACTTAGTTGAAGTTATAGCTCCAGGTACTCAACCGTATTTATTTAGTGTTTTGCTCTCACAGTGTATTTGAAATGGTTATATCGTAAGCAGACTTAACGTTACTAGTGAAGAGTGTGATATCTAACGTTAGCTAATGTAGTCAAGGTCAGTGTAGCTTATTCTGGCTTCAATTTTTATACTAACATTGGATTAAAGATGTCTGAAATTACATATTTAAGTGTATGTGCTAATAGATCCAGGTTGTGGTTCCAGAGTGCTCTGTAATGCATACACAGTAGAGTATAATACATTATGATGCATCTTCTGAAGGTACACTGTTGGCTGTTTCCTGTGTTGAAGCTGTCAATGCTAAGATGCTCCTCCGGAAGTTGTGGTCCAGACTGGGAGCCCAGCTGCCAGCAGAGTGGAGACCAGTCTGCGTCTGTACCTCGGCCTGTCTCTCCCAGTCCGTCCAACCACACAAGTATGAATCCACACCCAGGACTCACTCAAACTGGTCTGCTCCAAGGATCTTTTCAAGACCCTTTCATTTAAACACTCTTCACCAACAGCTGGAGCGTACCAGACGTGTTCCGCCGGCGTTAGTTGGGTTTAACAGTAACAGCAGCACTTTGATAACTGACCCTGAGATGCTGACGAAATGTGGAATTGGACAGAAGCATTTTTATTCACCCGACCTTGTGAAGTCGGTGTTAAAACCGAGTTTAAAACCGAGTTTAAAACCAGCAGCGGTGCCGGTGAAAAGGGTTCCCAAAGGACCAAGAACGAAACAACCTTCCAGAGCCAATCAGCCCTCCCTGAACGTGGACATGGTGATTCAGCCGTCTGATAATGACGGATCTTTCTAAGTGTTCATACACGTCTTGCTTGTGTTTTAGTGATTAATTCAAACCTGTGTTTCTCTGTAGGATATGATGCAATGTATTGCCTTTGCAACAGCAGATCAGTATCATTTGCCAACACTTTGCCACGACTTGATCAGCCACGGCTTCCATGAGCTAGATTTACCAAGAGGTATGATTCAAAAAAATATTTATGGAATACAACATTCCTGGGAATTAAATGTGATTATATGCTGCTCGGAACAACGACCACATTTAATGAAAAACACGTTTTAATTGCAGATGCCTCAAATGTGCTGGTGATAAGCACAGAGATGGCTGCAAAACCAGATGACGACGCTCTAATGTTCTTCTTCAGGTGTATATATATACACACACAATATTTCCATACCTAAGTTTAGATATTGTTTTATTTAGGCAATGTTCTTGTTGATGCACTGATAGTTCGTTGTTTTGTTAGATGAATTAATGGGTTGTAGAAAATATTTATATTGAAAAAAAAAATGGCAATTACTATCATTAATAAAAAATATAAATGATATTGGCAATGATTATTTATATATATATATATATAGATATATATCTATATATATCTATATATAGATATAGATATAGATAGATATAGATATAGATATATATAGATAGATAGATAGATCCAGCTGTAATTACAGTGTTATGGCAATTTTCTGTTTAATTTTTGGTAAATTACTGACTGACTTTTCTTTCTGTCATTTCAGGGAAGGCTCAGTCGTTTTCTGGAATGTTGAGGAAAAAATGGTTAAAAAAAAGCAACATTTTTTTTTTTAAGTATAAAATTGAATTACTTGTAATCCTTGTTTACTTTGTTACTGTAGCATACTTCTTGGACAATGTGCATATTTTCTGTCTCTACAGTTGAAAAAGGTGTTGAGAATATTGGAACGTCATGAGATCCAGCCCTATGAAGTAGCATTAGTCCACTGGGAAAATGAGGAGATTAACTACACTGTTGGAGAGTACGTTGATACTCACTCACTCGCTCATTAAATACGTTGTATTATTATGCACATGTGCTCCATACTTTCTGTATTTTTTCTCTCTTCTTCAGGGGAAACACGAAGCTTGAGCGCGGCAACTTTATCCTGAGTGACAAGATGGAACAACATGAAGCGGTTCTGGAGAAATTTGCATTTTCAAATGCGCTATGTTTGTCTGGTGAGAGCCGGCGCTCAGACTATAAATCACAAAGATTTGAATTGTTATGTTCCAGCACTGAGTTTAACCGCATGCTTTCTCTTCCAGTGAAGCTGGCGATATGGGAGGTGTTCTTAGACAGCTTTGTGGAGTCAATTCAATCAATTCCAGAGGTACAGTGGACACAAAGAAATCCTGAATAATAGATTATCTGTAATGGTTGTTTGTTTGTGCGGAAGGTAGACCATGCATCAGTGCTCCACTTAATGCTAATGTCCTAATCTGTTTATCTCGTTAGACGCTGAAGTCTGGCAAAAGAGTTAAATTGTCCTCTGCAGAGGTTATGAAGAAGATAGGTGAACTTTTCAGCTTACGGTAAATTCTGTTTTCTTTAAATAGCAGTTTGTTTAGAGAGAACTGTGTCTTTTCCTTTTCTCTTTTTTCAAGGTTTAAGGCAAAACTTTCCAGTTGTTTCCGCTTTAAACTTCAGATTTGTATTTTTTTGTATTTGTCAGGATATCAGTAGCAGAAATTTGCTCACATCCATGTATTTTGTTGTTGTTGCCACTCATTGTTAGGTAATTACAATTCTAAGAACCATTGCCGGTCTGCTGGGGTGACAGACTGTTTAAAACCTTTTGTATTCACATGCTTCTCGGACAGACACTGTATAAACCTGAGGTCGGACCTGCTCATCACACCTGATTTCTACTGGGACCGAGAAAACCTGGAAAAACTCTACGACAAGACGTGCCAGTTCCTCAGCATCAACCGCAGAGTCAATGTAACTAAAGCTGCTCCTGAGAATAATGTGGCGCCATAGTGGTAATGTAGAGACTCATTCTGGCACTACGCTTCTGATCTCAGTGAGAAACATTTGTCTGTGTTTAGGTCGTGAATGAGAAGCTGGAACATTGTTCACAGCTAACGGATTTGATGAGGAGCCACCTGAGTGAGAAGCACAGCTTGAGGTTGGAGTGGATGATAATCATCCTCATTGCTATTGAGGTAAGGAGATAAGAGATCCTTTGTGCCCTTTGTTTATTCATCACATCAAACCATCCAAAAACATCCTCATGTGAACATTGGTTAGTCTACTTTAATTTGATTAATTATAAGATAATATAATTCATTAAAATTCTCAAAATATTAGTTTAAGCTTATTTGTTTTTGTGTTTTTCTCGTAGGTTATGTTTGAACTTGCAAAAATGATCTTCTAAGCGGCTCCTCCAACAATACACAAATCTATAAAGGACACTGTGGAGAATGCTGCACTGTACACATGTACTATGTGTGACAATGTTTTCTGGAAGAAACTGCAATTTAATGTCTTACTTTTCCTGTTACACAGTACATTCATTTCAGCAACACACAATCACGTTTTCTTTGAAAAAATGAGATGCGCTAATTTTTTTTAAATTTATGAAGTTCAGGAACTCCAACTGTGAGTGCTGTATTATAAAAGATGCAATAAAGTGTTTTAAATGTTATGTTGAATGTTTGACAGCTGTGTTTCAGTGTTTGCATGTACAGTATCAACTTATTGAGAACATTATTAGTCGAGTAGAATGTCTAAAGCTAACTTATGATCACTAGAGGTTTCAATATACAAGAATAATTTGTAATAAAAGACGTACTTGAAATAACCAGGTATGAATTTATTCCAATAAAATAGTTTATACATATATGTAAATATATAAACACACAACTCGGGTTTATGTTTTGCATTTTGTAATTATTTAACATCAAAGATCAGCAAGAATTTTCCATTAACGTCCGTATATGTGGAAATAAATCGTCTCCTTAAGGTGTTTGAGGTTTACACACAAACCACTGGGAGATAGAACGGGATGAGTAAAGCTGCCATCATTGTTTAAGGCTTTGCTGATTACAATTGAATTAATGATAAATACATATGTGAAGATTCATTTAACTTCAAACAAAAATAATCTTAACTTGCCACAGTAAAAATTCTGGTAGATTAAAAATGAGCACATGAGTGTATAAGCATTAATCATTATGTACAAGATAGTTTACAGTAATAGTATGTTCAGCTCTGCCTATAGTCTTTACCTGCATTGACCTGTTTAAGTGATGAAGCAAAACAGTTTATGAGCACAGATGATACAGTGAAATATATACATATACTATTTAGGTCAAAATAAATGAACAATTGTCCAGTGCCTGGTTTATGTACATTATGAATTAATGTTTTTTAATACTTACACAAATCTATTTGAAGCACAAAACTGCTAACAAGAATGCTGTCTTATACTCTTAGACATTCATCTAAAAAAAGATCTAAATAGATCTTTGCAAAAACATGATTTATAATTGAAAAGATTTGACATGATTGGAAAATTGCACTATAAAGAAACAGCTCATGAGAATGCTTGAACAAAGCTATTGGATAATGGATGTAGTTCACTGTCAAACCTCTAGAATCACACTGCATGCACCCTGAGCCAAGCGTAGCAGTTCTCCAGTTGATGTTGCTCGTACTAGATCTCTCTCATTAATCGCACACATTATGATAATAATAAGTTGAACAAAATGTCAAATAAAAGCAGCAGAATGCTGTTTCCTGTAAAGTTCTTCTACCACTGTCAGCGCTACTCTTTAGTGGCTTTTTGAAAATTTCTTACAAACTTGAGTGACTTCCTTTTTGATTGTCCAACCTTGAAAAAAAAAAAAGTAAGATATTAATTCATTTGGAAATTCCATTAAATGTGATTCATGATTTAATAAGTGTACTGGAATAAAGAGTTGAATAATGGGACAAATCTTGCAAAAATTACACTAAAACAAGAGTAAAGTGATCGGCTTACCGGTTAGTGACACTGAAGTCGAGCAGAATTAATTTCACTCCATTGTTGTGACACTCACAGTTTCAGTTTCAGGATGCTCGGGTGCAACAGCAAAATCTTCACCTTCGCTATCAGTTTCACATCTTTCTACTGTTTTGTGCATTTTCTGTTGACTTTCCTCTTCCTCAGTCTTGGATTTAGAAGCCATTTCAACCTCATGTTCAAGTCCTGCCTTTGCCTCTTGCTCGCTTTCTGTCTGAGGTCCAACAGATTCCTCCACCTCAAGAAGGCACGCCTCTGTTTTCTCTTGAGTGTAGATGTCTTCCTCAGCATCCATCCACACATCCTGGTCCAACTCTTTCTGTTTAGCAGGCTCTTTTGTTTCTTGCTCACACGCTTCAGAGAGTACTGGCTGACTCAGGGACTCTTCTGTTTTCTCTGTTTGCCTCACTGGTTCTTTTGTTTCTGTTGCCTGGACACTGGAGTTTACTGTCTCTGTTGATTTGATTTGTTCGTCTGGTTCCATCGCTTGGATGCTGATATCCAGCACTACAGGTTGAGTCGTAACCACGGCTCTTTCCTTTGAATCTAAGTTTGCCGCTAGTTCTGTGGTTCCTGTAGCCTGAACAGCGACCTCCATTAACTCTATTTGTTTGGCTGTCCTTACGGGTTCTACTACCACTACTGCCTGAACTCCGAACTCAGACACGTCTGTCTTTTTCACAGGTTCAGATCTCTCTGTTGTAGGTGGGGAAGCTGGTTCATTTGCTTGCCCAAACTGTATGTTGAGTTTGAATTCAATTGAAAGACTTGAAGGGGACTCCACGTTACCTATCGACGAGATGACTCCAGTGTATTCGGGTGCTACTAATCCAGTGTTATTAGGTGTTACAATCGGAGCTTGGGTAATTTGTGTTTCTTTGTGAATCACTTGAATTGATTTTACCTCTTCTACTACGACACCTGCTTCTGATTTTTCCTCCAAATGGTCTTTTTGATCATGGATAGAAACATCTAAACATGGTGTAACGTCAGGTGTGTGCAGATCCTCAGTCACTTGCTGTCCAGTTGCAGCGACGGCACTGATTTCCGTAGACGTTTCATCTTGTCTTTCATGGAAAGATGCATTACTATCAGCCATCTCTTTTTGATCCTCAACTTCATTTGATTCACTTTTAACCATCTCACTCACTTCGGTCACAGCATCTGGCTGTTCAATACCATCTTGTCCCAAGTTGACAACCAGTGATTCAGGTGCTGTCTCTGGTAAGTTTTCCTTTACATGTTGAATGACTTCTTGAATGGTCACCTTGTTTTGCTCATTAATTAATTCCTCTACAATCTCTGGAGTTGCGGAGAGACTGTCTACCTTTTTAACATTTTCATGACAAACATCTATGACTTCTGTTTCCCCTACCTCTACCACTGTGTCCACAATTGTTTCAGCTGATTTGATATCATCATTGACCACCTGTACTTGAGTTATGTTATTATCCTCAAACTCTACTGATGGCACGTGCATCATCACAACCACACTGCCTTCCTCAGCTGTCTCAGCCTTATCGTCTTTCACTAATGCTGTGGCAGTCTCGACTTCCTCCTCAAACAGTAGCTCACTTGTGACTCTTTCTATCGAGAATTCAGTAATGGGTGATGTTTTCTCTATCAAAACATCAGGTATTGCAGTTGAGACATTTTTTATATTACATATGACTACATGCGCCACTAGGGCATGCTCAACTGCAGAAGTCAGTTGAGCAGTGCCTGAAAACGTACTTTCTGTTTCTCCCTCAACGTCGACTTGCCCTGCACTGAGATGCACTTCATGTTTGGGTTCATTTGTAACTGCAGCGTTGTCTACACATGGTGCTGGACTTTCTTCGGTTAATACAGTCTTTTCTAGTACCTGGACATTACTTTCTTCCTCATTCACAGAGGATACACAAACTGCTGTTAATGTTAATAACTCGTCTACACCTTCAGGTATGCAATCTTCCTGCTCAACCCCAACATCTTGTGTAATACTCTCAGTTTCCTGATCCTTTGCTCTCTCCAAAGAGGAACCCAGTTGTGCCACACCTTCACCCTTAAGTCCATCTGTAACTGAAGCAATGACACTGTCAATGTTTGGTTTATGAACGTCATCTAACAATATTTGCTTCTCAAATTCCTGAGCACTACCTCCCTCAATACTTTCTATGACTGCATGCATACACATCGATGTCCCTTCATCAGGGTTTGTTTCAGTTACATGATCTTTGACATCCGATGGTAATACTTCTGGTTCTTGGGCATGTTCTGTTTTGGCAGCTTCTACTGGTAGTTTTTCTTCTGTCTCAACTTCATTTTCCTGTCTGGGTTCATCTGTAACTGTTTCCACTACTGGAATATCCCCTGATGTTACTTCCTTTTCAAGTGAAAAAAGGATTCCCACCTTTGAATCTAATGTGGCTGCTTGCTCAGCTTGTAGTACTTCTGGTTCTTGAACATGTCCAGTTGTGGAAGAATCCACTGGCTCAAGGCTGGCTTCAGTGGGAGGTATTCTTTCCTCTTTGGGTTCATCAGTAACTGTTTCTCCTTCTGGAACATCCTCTGGTATAAGCTCTTTTACAAGTGATTGAACACTGCCCTCCTCTGAATATAATGTTGGTGCTTGAACAGCCTCTAATACATCTGGTGCTTGAACAATTTTCAAAACATTTGCTGGTAGTTCTTTGTTTTCTGGCTCAATACTGACTTCAGTGAGACCCTCTGCCATCTGTTTGGGTTCATCTATAAC